CGAAAATTATCAGATAAAGTTGATGTGGCCAAACGTGAAGTTGGTTTTACACGATATGTCTGATCAACGACCACGTTATGAACAACAAATGTCGGAGGTATTCCAACGCACACAACAATTTGAAAAGAAACGTCTCGATTTTTTTAAAGAAATGTTCGATGAATACGAAAAAGTATTAGATCTTAACAATAATCCAATGTTGAAAAAAATGCACGATGATTATCAACAAGCCTTGCAAATGCATGATTCACAACAAGATATTACATGGTGGGATCAGAATTATGGTAAGTAAAGTCTTGCATAAAACGAAGAGATGATTATTGTGTGGCTAATTTAGGATCTCATATAAAATATGAATTTTTTGAACGACTGCCTAATTGAAACTGTTTACATTCAAGGAATTGTATTGTGTGTCGTATCAAGCCAGAGCTCTTTATAAAATAATGCTTTTTATAATTTTTCAACTGAAAGCTGCACTGCACTCTAAAAAAAAAGCGTTTTCGCGGGAACTGGTTGTGGTTGGGAAACTCTTTCGAAAACTCTTTTTGGTTTTGGAACTGTAATACGAAACCCGTGGAGGTTTTGCAGGTGACTTTGGAAACCGAAAGGGTATTTGAGAATACGGTACAGGGTATCCGAACTGTCGGAAACCTAACAGATATTTGGCGAAAATGTTTGAAAACGGAAAAAGTATCCTCCGAAACCGAAAGAGTATTATCCGAAACCCTTTTGAAACCTAAAGTTTCTTTAGAAACTTGCTGGGTATCCGAATATATCCTTTTCAGTATGCGAGAATACCCTCTTTGGTACGTGAAAAGTTTTCGCGAAAACACTTCGATTTTAGAACCCTGTTCGTTTCCGAGAATACCCTCTTCGGTATCTGGAAATGTTTCTACAAAACACTTCGGTTTTGGAATCCTTTGCGTTTCCGAGAGAACCCTTTGTTTTAAGTTCTTTTATCTATGATGCAAAGTTCAGTCGCATCGCAAAAGCTGATCGTTAGAGCATTGACAATTTGTCTCTTGCAAAACTTGAGTAGGAAATGAAGCAACGCTTATTAAGACATGAAGTATCTCAGTATATCTCCGGTTTTATCGCTAATGGGAAGCCTCACCTGGAGCGAATAATAATGATGAATGTTTATTGTCCTTTCATCAAACTAGATGCGAAAATGTAATAGTAATAGCCCTACAGACTACAGAATAAAACAGGTAAGATAGATAAGTACTTTTATAAAATTTGTTCGGAAACCTTTCTTTGACGGTTTCCGAAAATGAAACTATATGAAACGGATAAGCGTTTTCGAGAGCTCGAAAACCTTTTTTTTTGGCGGTTTCCGAGGAATAAGTTGAACGCAAAGAAAATGGGTTTCCGGAGCAGAAAAGGGTTTAGGAGCGCTCGGAAACCCTTTCGACGGAAACGGATAAGCGTTTCATATAGTTTCATTTTCGGAAACCCGTTAAGCGTTTACCAGAATACGATTTTTTTTTAGAGTGTGTTGTCCTTTGATTTTTAATCATCGATGGTCACCGACAACGCAAAAGAAGGTGAAGGGTCACCCACAGTTCATGTTTATTGATTTAATACGTTATTTGGATTTCACAACTTCAGAAGTAGGGTTTCTACAAAACCAAGGTTTTTGAGCTATAGGTTTTGAATAAAATGAGTTTTTATAAAGACGTAGCGAGAGAAACGTTTTTGAATATGATATTCGAATTCAGGGTTGAAAGATGAATTTTAAAAAACAGAAATTAAGTCTCTCACTCAAACTCCCGATTTTTAAAGCAAATGTTAATTTTTAAAAAAGGGAGCTTTTTTAAAACCTCTATAACGCAGCTCAGGTAGGTGATAGAGGACTCGCTCAAACTGCATTGAAAAGAGTATTAAAAAGTGTACAAACGTAGGAGTTGCAATGTTCGAACATCACGTGATCAGAGTTTTCTAAGGGATCTTCAGAAAACCTCTCTCTAATTTCACTTAAGTTTCTAGTTTTTTGATATTTAAATTTTGATATGGAAATTTTTATGACTTCAGGTGGTCAAAATCGATTAATAGGACACAGTTGAACACTTAACAAGTCCTTTTATCGTTATATGTGCTTATTATCTGTTGACAACACTATACCTTCTTAAATGTCGAAACTCACTTACCAGGTGCACTTAGGTCAGAAAACGTGATTTTCATACAACAACCATTGTGCTTCGCCATACTATGTTTCACATTTCCACTAACATCGGCTGTTGTACCATCAGATTTAATTACAATTCTCAAAATATGTCCTTCTTCCGAATGTAAAACAAATGATTTCTGATGCACCATGGAGTTTTTCATATAACTATCAGTAGCACCACGGTATATTTCATCAAGTTTAACTTTAATATATATATTTTACACAAGTTACAATATTGAAAATGAATATTATGATGTTTGTTAAAGAATGAACGTTTGTGTATGGATGGATGTGTAGTAGAGAGTGAATGTATCGATTAGTACATGCCAGGTGCAGCTGATTTCTCTCTTTATCTGTTTATCTCTCTCTGCCTCTCGCTTCTTCCGTTCATCCTATATTAAGCGAGGCACCTGTGTGTGTGTGTACACGTCTAGACATAGAGAAAAAATCGACAATAGGCATATATAACGATGAAAAGACTTGTTAAGTGTTCAACTGTGTCCCATTAATCGATTTTGACCACCTGAAGTCATAAAAATTTCCATATCAAAATTTAAATATCAAAAAACTAGAAACTTAAGTGAAATTAGAGAGAAGTTTTCTGAAGATCCCTTAGAAAACCCTGATCACATGATGTGCGAACATTGCAACTCCTATGTTTGTACACTTTTTAATACTCTTTTCAATGCCGTTTGAGCGAGTCCTCTATCACCTACCTGAGCTGCGTTATAGAGGTTTTAAAAAAGCTGAACTGTGTATGATCCTTCACCTTCTTTTGCGTTGTCGGTGACCGTCGATGCTTAAAAATTAAAGGACAAATATTTTTCAGAGACAACAAAGATCAATAGTTATCGGTATCTAAGAATCATTGAGAAATCATCGGAAGTGTAGGGGTGAATTTCAGTTTCTCATTCCTATAAATCGTCTTGGTTATCCTCATCTCTCACTATCATTCTCTTCTGATCGCCTTCTATATTTTTCTGTTAGAACTCGACCACAACATGTCTGTATGTTTCAACCATGGGATTTAATTTCATAAAACTTTAATAAACAATCAAGTGGTAAGTACATACCTGCTCATTTTCAAGCTTGCGGTCATTGACCTGACCATCAACTGT